AAAAAAATCAGGTCAATACCAGACCTATGTTAGCACTAGCACTAGCACTGCTAGCTGTGCAATTGTTGAGGCCTGAAAAAGCAGCACAGACTTCCCACATACCTGCCTCAACACATGATGGGCCTTTAGTTTCTTGGGTCATCCACACACAAGATATATATCTTATTCCCTCTGAGGACAAAGGGAGATCCAAACATGTATAAGAATTCTAATAGCAGTTCTAGAAACAGAAGCTGGTGAATCCTGACCCAACTATACACACTATTCATGTGAATGACAATTTCTATTCCTCTTACAATTCATCCACTTGATATGACTAATGTGAGGAATAAATAGAATTATATAAAAATTAAGCCAAGATAAAAATTAGTCCAAAGTTGTTGAAGATAATGTAAATGATGGTCTATGGGACTGCCAAAATTGAGAGGGGAACAAAATTATGTGGGAAAAATGTAGGTCCTAAAAATAAAAGCTTGTTACCCTTTAGATTAAAAACTGTTATTTATCTCTTTAAGAGAATCTTTAACATGAAGGAAAGTCTTGCTACCGAAAATACTTCAGCATTTTTCCCTTAATAGTTCCAGAAATTATCTCCTTCCTAAAAAAAAATGTTTAAAGGTTAATCTTTAAAGGGTGAGACAGTAAAGTGGTGTAAAATGAGAAGCACTTTATTTAGTGTACACAAATTTTTTCAGTTCCATTCATAACCACAGTACCAAACAATTCCTTTGCTTGCTGAGTATTTTTTGTTGTTGATGTTGTTATGTTTTACTTAGGCTTAAGAAAATAAAAATGTTAAGTTTTAAAACTCCTAAAGTTATTATTGAAGGTTTATNGTCCTTTTAAATATTTAGAAGCTCCACAGGTGGTGGCTTTAATGGAATTTTTCCCAAAGTAAATTTCTTGGACTGAAATTGTTCCAGTTCTCCTACTGTTAGTTGATCCTTGGGTGTGAATAATACGTTATCTGTTGTGATGATGCCATTTGAGACTGGGAGAGAGGTGGATATGCTCCCATTTCCAAAAGCACTATTAGATGGCTTGGAAAAAGCACTGTGAGAATGTGAGCTTGGACCACCAAAACCAGCCACAGAATTGCCGCTTCCAAAGGCCGGGGCCACTGGAGCTCCGAAAGGACCTCCTGCCAAGGATGTTGGAAATCCTGAAAACCCAGGTGATACAACACTGGAAGCTACAGGACTTTTAAATGAAAATGAAGCAGCAGATGTGATTTCAGGTTTCCCAAATCCAAAAGTTGGAGTGGAAGTAGAGATGGCAGAACTGGCAGAGGATATAGCTCCAAATGCTGGAGGACTCCCAAACACAGAAGGGCTTCCAGAAGGGGCAGTGACGAATCCAGAGCTTGTTTTAAAACTGAAATTCTGAGCATTATCACTGCTGCTGTTATTCACTGGAAAACCTCCGAAAAGCAGAAAGAGAAAAAATAATCTATTATACTCAGAAAATGTAGTCATATTACTGTCCCCGCCCCCTACCTTTTTCCCTCTTATTTCTGTTATGTTTGGATGTTGAGAAGCCTAAGGGAAGGAAGAGAAGAGAAAAATGAAAATGAAAATGAGAGGCTAGCTTCCAGTCAAGAAGGCAGAATAGACGGTCCTCAGCATCAC